AGTTTACCAGAAGTGCGGTGAAGGGAAGAAGGATGGTAATCCTAGCTAATACCATGTTGCAGCTCCGGATTAGATATCGACCCTTAGTGAGGCGGTTAGTCGGAACGAGTCCGACTTAATCTCATTAATAGCAATTCTTGCTCATGCTAAACACCGGACAATAATACCACTTAAGCTAGTCCAGTCCAATGAAACCTAACAACAGCAAACAAACACATCCTAAAATCCTTATCGAGAAACCCCTCTAGTCAAATGATTCATAGTTGTCCATTGACGAAACCCCAAAATAAGTTTCCAAGTTTTGCAACCGTGCCAAATCAAAGTTTTAAGTAGGGGTGAAATTTTTTGCCAAATTGCCAAACCATGCCATACCGATTGTGCCAAATTTTTTGTGTCAATCAGTAATGGTACGGTATTGTACCGTACTGAAATTTTATGGTACGATTTTGGTAATAAATATCATTATCACGATATTACCGTACCGTACTGAAAATATAATATAATATATAATTATGTTAACACATTTATAATATTTCATTGCTTGCTTGATTTGTATAATGAGTATAGGAGGGGTTCTTCTACTACCCTTGGGGCTCTATTGGAAGATGTGGAACTAAATGAAGAGTTCATAATTCAAGCTTATGAAGGTGATGAGAACAAAATTGAAATGATGTAGGAGCTTATACAAGAAATGAGGGATCAACGCCTTTTGGAGATTTCCAATGAAGTTGATAAGTACTACGCCGCTTCTTATATTAGCATTATTGTTTGTGGCTTTGATCTCTTGAGTTGTTGGAAGTCAAACACAAAAGAGTTCCCAATTCTTTCACAAATAGTCAATGATATCTTTGTAATGCCCTTTACCGTTGCTAGTGAAAATGCATTTAGCCTAAGGATGAGGGTTGTGGACCCTTTTAGGGTATCCTGTACCCCTAAAATGGTAGAGGCACTAGTGTGTACTAGTGATTAGCTTAGGGCGGATGAAGTAAATTCTATAAGGAACCAACGAAAGATATGCTTTAATTTTACAAGGAAATGGAAGAAGTGGAAACAAGTAAGATATGTTTAATTTTTTTAGTAAATTTGTTATTAAATGGTTTTCAACTTTAATTCTTCTTGCTACTAATATGTTTTCTTTGTTTGTAATGTAGGCTTGACACAAACTCAATCTTCTACAAGTTCAATGCCTCCTTCAAAAACTTCAACATTTCAAACTTGAAATATTGATCAATGGATTTTACTTTTTGAAGTTTAGTTCCAATTTTCATTTGGTTTGAAACTTTAACTTCTATTTGGATTGTAAGCTTAATTTTTCATCATGAATCTTGATGCATCATTTGAATTATTGTGTGTGTGAATTGTGAATGATGAATAATAGATGAATTTATGCTACAATGTATGAAATAAAGGTACCCAAAAAATAAATGCCCTTGAATTGGGTTAAAAAAACAAAAATAGATTTTGTCCCAAAACAAAGTGGCAATTACTTTTGCCATACCATGCCAACCGAACTATTTGGCAATACCAAATTTCGGTATACCAAAAGTTTGGTACGGTAATGATAATAGATTTTGTCAAACCGAAAGTTTGGTACGGTAATTGGTACAAGGATTTCGGTACGGTAACCGTACCGAACCCACCCCTAGTTTTAAGTGGTGTCACAAGGAATTTGTAGCTGAAAGGGTTAAAGACATTTACTTATGCATTTGAGGTATTAAATTCTATTTCCTCCTTTGCAATTATGTGTTGTGTCTCATCAATGGAAAATAAACAAGTTAATCAACATTTAAATAATAATTCAATATCAACAACCACGTCATATGAGTTACAAAATATGGTTTAAATAGATATTTTCAGTATGGTTACACTATCGATATTGGTTTTGATACCAATACCAATACCATACTACATATCTTTAGTTCTATACAAGTGTCATATATTAATGTTTGATACAAAATTAATACAGTAGAATAACAAAAAAATTTCACCCTACTGATGAAGAAATTATAGTCTAGTATCGTATTACCACGTGGCATTGCCAAATGGTGGTACTCACTAATCAGATACTGCCATGTGAAGGAGTGAGATGGAAACTAAAATGAACAATTAATGTTTTATTAAAAATTTCATTAATTGTCCCTAAATAAAAAACAATTCTTTCACTTTGTCCCCTTCCTTCATCCTTCTCCCTCTGGAGAAATTATATCCCTCCATTACTTCCCTTCTCTGCCACTTCCTCTATCTGCCATATATTCAACTTATTTACCCTTGGCTTAAATATCTACTTTGTTCAAACAAAATCAAAATCTTAAAATAAAAATAATTCCAATTTCGCAGCCATGGTTGCCGACTGTTGGAAATCAGTGGACAAGCTGGTGGAGGAGCGTAGCCTTTGCAGGAAATCAGTAGACGGGATGGGCTTGTCATCCGAATAGACCACATTGGCTTGCTGTCTAAGTGTAGCCTTAGCAAGTCTAGCGAAGGTCTCGGCCATATCAAGCGAGACGACGATGCAAGCCTCATGAAGGTTAGTGCATCAGAGAGAGGAGAGAGGGGATGGGGAAGAAGGTGAGTCTGAGGTTTAAATTTGAGTAAATTACAAAAAACTATCTCAACTATAAGTCAGAATCACAATCTCATACCTCATACCTCATGTTTTAAACATTACAATGTCATGCCTCAATTTATGATTTCCTCACAATATCAGACATCTGTTAAATTTTTTGTCAAGTTGATTGTTAAACAATGACATATCAAGAACGAGGCCTACTCAACCATTAAAATTAATTTTAAAAAAAACTCTCTCCTCATTTTCTCTCCAGAACGTCGTTCGTCTCCCTTCGTCCTCCCTCACTCCCTCCTTTGTTCCCCTTCTTCCTCGTCCTTCTTAAACACAACCAAATTTCCTTCATCTGAACATGAAACAACACCATGCAACCTTCAAGACTTTAAAATTTGCAAAATTCATTAAAAATTCAGAGCACATTACATGCAAATCCAGATCTGCCCTCATTACCATTTCAATATGGCATTAAGGCTTATCAATGACCATTATTCAGAGGGTTATGGGGATTGGCATTAACATATTAATAATGAGTTGATGAATGACCATTATTTAAGAAGAATATGAAGGGAGGTTGGCTGCAGCAGCAGCTTATATAATCTCCATTTGATTGTTTTCCAAATGTGGCCCGCTCTTTCATAATTTTAGACTATTCTTTTTCTATTTAGTTTATGGCGAACTAATCTCCCTAGCTAAGGCTAAGGGGGAAACCTATATTACGATTATGTAGTTTTATTATTTCGATTCTATTTCAGAGTTTCAATGTCAATTTTACATTGTGGATTTTCAATGCAATTTCTTATTTATTCTATTTTCGGATTGATGAATGTTGGTTATGATTCATAAGTTTAATCATGTTTTTCTTATAGTTTTGTTTCACATTCATGCTTTTAATGAATTGAATAAATTACTAGACTGGTACAATTTCGACGAAGTAATTTCTTAATATTTTGTTGTCGTAGGTACAAATTATATTTGGGATTATTTCTATAAGAAATTGAATGGGCGTTTTTTTTTTTAATATCTACAATGAAAATCACCTCTCAAGAGGTTTTATATGAGGAAAACTTAATTGCTATATTTTCCGGTTGAGATCACTTGTTGTTGGTATCTCAGTTGAGTTAAAAAAATGAATCGAAATAGCGAAATTGCATAGTTGTATGCGGGTGGAACCCTGATGCTTTAGTATTTTTAATTGTTGAACTTTTCTTCTATAAGTTACATCTCATTCGATATTGTTCTTTGTTTTAGTCTTGATAATTCTGCATTCTTGTTCAACGCTCTTTGAGGAATACGATACTCAGACTTTGAATTTATACTGCGACGCGACACCTACACTTGGGTTTAGCAAGCACAACTTTGAGTTGCAGAGAGGTCATCAACGGAAAACCTTCCATGCACGCTAGGAGGAGGCCGATCTCCCTAATTTTTTCACCTTCCCACCTTCCAAAATGGCGCTGTGCAACCCCAGCCATTCCTCGAGGTTTGTCAAATTACGGAGCTCTGCATCCCCATTGAGGGAGATTTCGACTAGCAAAACTACCCGATCAGCTATCTAGAGCTTGACGGCCTGGAAGGCGACTTCGAGTTGGTCACAGAGGATGGCCTCGCATCTCAGGATGGCCGGCGGCAGCTTCAGATTTGTCAAAGGGAGGGGGTGGGATGATGAGGAGATCGATATATTGGAAGATGGGATGACGAGGTCCGTACGAGAGATATTGGGTTTCGTTGGAGAAGGGAAGGACGTTCGTCGAAGAAGAGAGAGGTTGAGGTGGGGTAGCCGGAGACAAGAAAGACTAGGTTGGTGGTTTCATCGGAGAAGAAAGGGATGAGTTATGGTTTATAAAAAATTAAATTAAATTATTTATATTTATTAATATTTTAATCTAATTGGGTAAGAGAGTGGGCACCTCACCTGGTAAGTTCGCATTTAATAGATAAATTAATGGAAAAATTAATGAAGGTCTAACATTGTAATGAATTCATAAGTTAATAAATGATATTGTAATGTTTAAAACATAAAGTATGAAATTGTGATGCAATTTATCTTTTGAAATTTATTTTTTATGTTAAAATAAGTTTTTAAGTTCAATTGGATAATAATTGTACATGTGTTTAATTCTGAGTGGAAGTGTTATATGTTGACGTGGTAATACTGTACTATCCAATAATTTCATCTGGTGGTGGAGGTAAGAAACATCAAACTGTAGCTAAGATATAGAAAGGGAAATGGCACGTGTACATTCATGACCGGCACGGGGATTCCTCAACCACACCTGCTGTAATCTTACGTGGCAACTCATCTCCATGCATAGCACCGTCGCACTCCACGTGCCACTCCCTTCCCCGAAACCACCACCGCCCTCCACTCATAACCACCGCCAACTATTAAACCACTCATTTCTTTGACCTCCCTCCCATTTGGTTTTCAAACAGAGTTTGACAATTTAGAGAAAAACAAGGACCGCTAAGCAATTTCAATATTCACCATCGTCAGTCGTCGCCATGGCCTCATGGGAAGTCTTTGACCTAGTTTCTCACCACCTTGACCCCAAAACCCTAGCCATATCCTCTTGTGTCTGCAAGTCATGGTTCGTTTCCATGTCCTCCGACCACCTTTGGTGGCCCATTTGCACTTCCCATTTCCCTACTCTTTCTACCCTTAAACTCACTAACCCTACCGTCTCCTACAGCCGCCTCTATGTCATCGGTCGATCTGCCGCCAAACGCCGCCAGAAAACCCCCTCAAAACCTCGCCTCTCCCTTGATAGCCTCATCTTCACGATCAACATCTTCAACCCCAACTTATCAAGCAATGTCCTGTCTCTGGAAAAATCTGGAAGCGAACTCGTTATGGATCCCAGCGGGATTTTTAAGTTCCATATTGATGTTAGTGACTACAATGGATTTGAAGCGTGGGAGGATCGGGGAGCAGTGAGAGTGACATGGAATGTCGTGTTGGAAGGGTGGAGGGGTGTTTTTGAGATGATGGACTGTGAAGGGAAAGGGATGGAGGGGTGGTTTTCTGAGGAGCTTCCTTCGCCGGCGGGGTGCTGCTCGAGCGTGGTTACTAGCGGAATTGTGGCGGATTTGAAGTTGGGGTTTTGTGATGGGAGGAGGGTGAAGAAAGTGAGTGTTGGGATGTTGAGTGTTGGAGATTGGAGATATGTGAGTATTGATGATGCTCTAAGATACTTGCAACACTTTCTTCTACCTTGTGTTGTATGAATCAATCTTAATCAACTAGCAAATTGATCTGCTCATGTATGTTTATATGCTCTGTTTTGTGTTGTTTTATTTTTATTTTATTTTTATGAATTTTAGTTACATGATTAGTTTTATTAACGCAAAGGAACGGGTAATTTCTTTATTATTTTTGGAATTAATTAGTGGAATGTGAGTAGAAAATTATAATCTGATGTTTCATGGAATTGTTCGTTAGGCACCGTATAATGTCATTAGTGGATTGTGTGTACTTATGGATTACTAAGTGCGTTGATCTTAATTACGTGGAATGCTTCTTTTTTTGTTTTTTTTATTACGTTGATATTACGATGGGGAGATTAATTTGTTGATATATCAAGTTATCAACATTGTACAAAAGGATTTCATTAGGCTCTATATGTTAATAAAGAGTAGGATATGAAGCTAGCTAGGATACGTGGGTGGGACATGAGGGTAGGGGTTGAAAGTAGAATGCGTTTATGACTTGGAATATAAAACATGCGGATGTGGTTTAAGTGAGTCGAATGCGTTAAAAATGCAGAGTATATGAACATTAACGGGAAATTTTATGGAAGAATCATAAGTATTATGTCATTCTAGGAAACTAGATGGGATGTTCATGAGGGAAAGGATCATCATTTAGGTTCTAAGTTTCGGTATTCAGCTATGAAGCATGGATATGGATACGGATACGCCGATATGACACGACACGACACGGCGATACGGAAAATCTCTGAAAATTAAGATACGATACACTATGGATGCAACAAATAAAAATGCATATAGCAACAAAACTATACATTTTAAAACATAATTCATCATTCAAATTCAAGTACATTTGAGTTGTTAGAGAAGAAAAGTTCGAAACTAAACCTCTTTATACAGTAGAAGAAGTGAGAGTCGTGTTCATGGTTTTAATCAGAAGGAAGCTCTTTGTATTCATCACATTTCAATTATAGATGTCTCCTATTAATTTTCTCCTCCTCATTACCTTTTTTTTGAAAGTGTAAATGTATCCTAAAAGCCGGATACGTGTATCTTAAATGTAGGATACATGTATTTATCATGTCAAATTCATATCCATCAATCAGGATACGTATAGGACGAGTATTCAAGAATATTGGGCAAGTATCGTATTCGATACTAGATCGGATACGGGATACGGAACCAAACAAAAGTATCCATGCATCATAGGTATTCAGACACAATTTTATATTGAGAAACGGTGTGGTATTATCACAGATAAGATTCTGACAAAAATGTAGATATTAAGAGCTCGAGGATAGAGTTATAGTAATCAAGATTTTAATAGGATCATAACTCATCAATGAGATTAGTGTTTATGCGCTTGAAGTTGGGGAGAATTTGTTCAAGATGTCTTTCAGACAGAGATGCTACTCATAAGAGGAGATTTAAATGGACATGGCTCAAGGAGACATGCAACTATAAAGATTTTTATGGGGGCCATAAATTTGAGGAGAGACGAGAGGAAGGAAGAAGAAGCTGTTTTGAATTATGATCTCTTTCCAGCTAATATCGTCTTTAAGAAGAGTGAAGAGTATGTGATCACTTGGAAGAATGTATTGGCTTCCTTTTTACATGTTCCTTTCTCTTTTTAAAGAAGGTATTAGCTAAAATGAGATTGTATGTCGTCCTTAAATTCAAAATGGCTTTCTTCTCCTCAAATCTAGGGCTATATAATCCTGCTAACTTTGCCATTGCACGCATGGCTATATTCTCTATGAGTAGCTTTTCCTTCTCAAAAATTCTTTTGAACTAATTTTTCAAGATTTTTCTAAAAGAGACCTTACACAACTGAACTGGAGATGCTTTCACGCTAGTTTTATTGAGGAGTTCTTGTTCTATTATGATCTAGTTATTTGTGACCCTCTTAATAACTACAACATGTTTTGTTAAATTCTTATCCACAATGATGCCAGTAGTGTTTTCTCGATCTATTCATGTCTAAATATGCAAGCTTAAAACCTAATTTTTGAAATCCTGTCTTAAGACTAAACCACTTACGTGGAGGTACGTAATATTTATCCTTCTTCTCATCATAATTTTCATTACTTCCATAGATTTTTCATTTAAGATTCCTTTATTCCACGCTCATAAACATATTGTACTATGTTGAGCATTACACTCATATTATAAACGTTTTCATTAAGATTTTAAAAATGAATAAGATGCTAAGGGCATACAAAATTGTATGACATATAGTGGTATTGAGTTAATAAGTCATACAATGAAGATATTAGCATACTTCAAGGTAAGATACACACGTCCTGACAATCATTCCATGTTCATGATGCCAGAGAACGCACAAGATTATGGAGGCCATCTATATTAGAAGATCGGAACGGATCGATATGCAAAGATTGGCACAATCTTTAGAGATATTGAAAAAGATTAAATGGAGTTCAATGGAAGTTTTTTGACAATTGAGAAAAAAGTAAACTTGCATCTTAGGATATTCTCTATGAGGATTCAAAAGAAAAAAGGACAAAATTTATCAGAACTAAGGTAAAATGGGATGGAAATAATTTTAGAACAAAATTATGAAGTAATTTTCATTGTAAACATTCTGATAACTAACGAATTGTTTAATATGTTTTATGAATAATACTTAACAATGGAAGTAAAAATAAAAAATTTAAAAACACATGCATTGACTAAGTAATTAATTGACAAATTTAAAAAAAATACACAAATAAATTTTCAATAATGACAATTAAATTTATTGTAATAAAGAATTCAACATGAAATATTTTAGCAAATAAGATCACATAAGTGATAAAGATGGTTAAGTCATGAAGGAGGTTAAATCCCAATTGCAATCATTTAAACAATATTTTGATATTTCAAATTTTTTTTGTATGATTGCCAATTAATGTTTAATCACGTAAAAAATCGGGATATTTTCGTATTTTGGTCCTTGTTTCATAAAATTATTTTCATTTAAGTTTTAAGGCATAAAGTTTTAAAATGAATATAGTGGATGCTAAGGGCATACAAATTGATTGACATATAGTGGTATTAAGTTAATGAGTCATACAATGAAGATATTAGCATACTTCAAGGTAAGATACACACGTCCTAACAATCATTTCACGTTCATGCTAGAACGCACGATTAAGGAGGCCATCTATATTACGAAGATCGATAGAACGGTATCGAGATATGCAAAAGATTTGCACAATCTTTACAGATTTGAAAAGAAAATGTAGGATATAGTTCAAAAGTGACTACTTGGAGGATTCTAGAGAAAAAAAAGAGTAAAAATAGCATATATCTAAACAGTAAAGGATATGCATTATGGAGGGAGAACTTTAGCAAGGACAAATTGAATGCTTTCCATAACCGTAAGGTTTAATTCTTATGTTTTTGCATTTGTAATGGATGAGTTGATGAGGTATGTTTAAGATGATACTCTTGGTTTATAAATTTGGCATATGATATAGTGTTGATAGATCAAATGTAGGAGGGTCTTTGACTAAATGAAGGAGGGTTTAAATGAGATAGGGTTAAAGATTGGAGATCGGGAGGAGGAAGGGTCAGTGGATGAAATTGAGGGGAAGTTTTGAAGCATGAGTTTGAAGTTGGGGAAGAAAATGATTTGGATTTGGATGGTTTTACTCCGGCAGGGGTTGGGTACGGTAACATCAAAGAGGAGAGTATAGAGAGGATGCAGAAGAGAATGCCAAGAGAGGCTCACAAAGAGAAAGAAGAGGTTACAATGTGTGCCCGATGTCATTCACTAAGAAACTATGGGCAGGTGAAGAACCAAGCAGCTGAAAACTTGATGCCTGATTTTGATATAGGTTGATTAAACCTGCTACGAGTGCCAATCCTGCTGTGGCTATGGTGGTTGATTGCATTGATTTTGATGGATCGTTCCCTAAATGGGCTGCAAAGTCATTGTTTGCAGCATTAAAAGGAACTGAAAATGATCCCAAGCTTAGGAAAGACTGCCAAAGCTTGTTCTTGTGGCCACAAAGGTTGATATCCTCCGGTCACAAGTTTCACCTGCTAGATTGGATAGATGGGTCCGCCATCGTGCTAAGGCTGGAGGGGGACCCAAACTAAGTAGGGTGTATATGGTTGGTTCTCGTAAGGATTTGAACGTCAGGAATCTGTTGTCCTTCCTCAAAGAATGGGCTGGTCCTCGAGGGAATGTATGGGTTATCAGGGCTCAAAATGCGGGCCAGTCCACTCTCATAAATGCACTTGCAAAGAAAGAAGGAGCAAAGGTCACAAAGCTCACGGAAGCTCCAATTCCTGGGACAACATTAGGAATATGGAAAGTTGGAGGGATTGATAGGAGCATATTTATGCGCCTTAGTTAGCTAGTTTTTATGCATTTTCGTTATGTTTTCTTAGTTTAAGTAGTCTTTTAAGCTAGTTTTATGTGTTTTCAAGTTTTAAGGGCAAAATATACAAAATGATGCATTTTGGAGCCTTTTGGAGCAAAATGGAGCTTGGAATGGATGTCACATACTTGGAGCCAAGGGAATGGACGAAAATGAAGATTTGAAGATTTGAGGAGTCCTAGTTGAAGAAGGATTCCTAATCACAGTAGGAGTCCTAATTGAAGAAGGATTCCTAACCAACGAAGGATTCCTAGTTGAAGATGGATTCCTAGAAGAATGAAGATTCCTACTCAAACAAGGTTTCCTACTTGAAGTAGGAAAGTTAAACCTAATTGGCCTTGAGTTTCAGCAACAAATAAGTTTTCCAAGTCAAAGAAGGAAAAGGAATCCAAAAAGAAGAATGACTGATCAAGACAAGCTTTCCTATTCCTAATGTGCAAAGGTTTCAGTTACAAAGATGAGTCCTAAACATTGTAGGACACCTTAATCCTTGTTCTAGAAAGATGTCAAACCAATTTCAGCAAGGAACCTTCCCATGCCGTGCATATCCTTATCTAGAACCTGTTTTCTTGCCTTGCAAGGCTTTCTAGAAGCCTTATCTTACCCTATCCAAACCTGCCGCACCCCCTAGGCCTTTTTCCTTGTGGATTATGATTTCTAAGCCTTTTTCCTTGTGGATTTGGGTTATCCAAGTCCATATCTGATTACCCTAGGGTTTTAGGTGCCTATATATACTCATATCTCAGCCCTAGCCGAACCACCACCCATCATAATACATAAATCACGCCAGAAATCATCCCCACTCTCTGCCGCAGCCTTCCATCACCATTCTCCCTAATTTCTGCCAAAAACAAACCCTTGCCGCCCCTATCATCCACCCTAACCACTCTCATACCATTCCATATCCATTCTCCCATACAAATACCACCCAAAACCTGTCCATAATCTCTGTGCTGCAGCAAGGAGGAAGGAGGAATTTCGTGGATGCACCTGCTGCCCAAGTTGGAGTGTCTAGGTGTTCTCTTTCTTTGGATTTCAATGTTTAACTTATTTATCTTTGCTTTGTGCGTATGAGGAACTAAACCCCCCTTGGCTAGGGGGGATTCGAAACCATGTTTATACTTGCTATATGATTTGATTACTTCTAATTGCGTTTCATAAGTTGTGGATTCAATTTGCTTATCTATTTGAATTAAACTGATTTGTGTGTGTTGGTTGAGAGTGCACGCTTAATTTTCATGCATAAATCTAATGCTAGGATATAAGGGATTTTCACCTAATCATTATGAACTTATATCCGCAAGTAGTAAAGGTTGTTGATCACAATCTTGTTAAGTAAATTCTTGGCATAAGTATCATGCGCTTTCATAGTTACGAGTGCCTCATCAATACTTATGATTTCCATTGAACGTAATGATCTTTGATTGTATCTCTATTATGCGCTTTCATGTAGGGAACTTTTGAGGAATAATTTGGTTGCGATGCGCTTTTTCCATCCAATTCATTGACTTAAGGGAAATCTGAAAGTTAATTTAAGCGTATCTAATTCACTTGGGGTGTTGGGAATTCATGGTTTATTGAGAAGCAATTGGAAATCGTTTTGTATGCAAGTGTGACATGTGTGGAGAAGAACCCCTTAGCTAGCTTTCCATCCATTCACTTTAGCCAAATTCGTTTTAAAATCTGTTCAAGTTACAAAGTTTCTGTTTTGTTTTTAATTTCGTCAAAACCAAATCCCCCTTTATTTTGTTGAGTCATCTTAGTTAGAAATCAATTTAGTTTGTGTTTTTAAGTGTCTTGAGTCAAGTTATAACCTATTTTCGTCCAAATTTGTGTTTGTGTTCAAAACTGCCCAGATTGTGTTTTTAAGGCAGTTTTGAGTGTTTCTAGGCTGTTTTGAGTCTTTTGGTTTGTTTTAGTGTTTTAGAGTTTAGTTTTGCATTCTTTGAGTCTAGTTTAGTGTTTTAAACTTTGTTTTTACGTTTTGAGTCGGTTTTCAAGTGATTGAGCAATCCCTCCTAATCCCCGGCCTAGAACGATCCCTACTTACATACTTTGCTACAATTGATAAAAAGAGGGTTTAATTTGTGTGCTTATATATTTCGCATCAGGGATCTTGTCAGCTAAGGCAGTGTTGTTTGACACTCCAGGACTTGGGCATCCATATTTGGTGTCCATGAGACTTGACCTTATTTGTAAGCACTCACTTATTCGGGTTTCTTATTTTAAGTTGCAGATATGAATGGTTTTTGGAGCCTCGTTTGATTTATGTTTGCTCAAATTATCTTAAAATTTAAGTTGGTAGAACATGCTTATTTCTTGGCTCAAATTCCACACAGATGCCTTTTAACAATGCCGTAGATGTCAGGTTCTATCGTTTACTTGTACAAAAGATTCTAGCTTATAATTTCTGTTGGAGGTTATGAGTTCAATAATCTGTTGAGTTTAAAGTGTTTTAACGACAAGAAAGTCCTTGTAATCCATCCATACATGTGTAATTTTTCAATGCATGAGAATGGACTAATGATCAAATCCAAGTGCTGCTGAATCCTGTGTTTGAAATCTGCAGGCAGGGCAAACCATACACGTTGGTGGTTTAGCAAGACTAGATCTTGTTCAAGCTTCTGTTGAAACAATTTATTTGACAGTTTGGGCTTCGCCAAATATTTCTTTACATATGGAGATGATAGAAAATGCTGATGAGACATGGAGGAAACATGGTGGTATTAGGTTGCAGGTGATTCTTTATCCCAGTTGGTTACATTTTTGTCATTATTTTGCATTTTATCGCATAGTTCAATTCGATTTGATTCTGGATACAAATTCTTAATGATATCATAGTCTTGATATCTGCAAGTGTTATCAAATGATTCTTAATGAAATTTTATTTTATGTATGCATTTTGCATATGAACAATATTGAGCGGGATTCATCCTTTAAATTTTGGTCAGCAGTTATAGGACGGAACTAGTCTTTGTGTTCTTGCAAAATGCAGCGGCTCCTTACCTTTTACTGACTGGACTCCGCCTTACACTTTTGCAGCCTCCAATTGGCGCCGATCGTGCTGCTGAGATGAGAAAACGGGAAGAGAGGGAAATCAAGGTGTCTGGAGCAAGCTGGGATGTGAATAGCATCGATATTGCAGTAGCTGGTTTAGGTTGGTTTTCGTTAGGTCTCAAAGGGGAAGCAACCTTGAAAGCAATATCTGAGGCAATTGGTAACTAGAGTGAAGTTAAAGCTCACAGGAAATAGCTTCAAATGGAGAGTGCAGATTCCGTTTCCGAGGTCTCCATTTGAAGAGAAGGGAAGCGTGATGTTCTACCTCATTTTCGACCAGCAACATGATTCACCTCGTTCTACTTGCTCTGCAAGTCAGCTTGACTTTTCGGAGGGTTTTACGACAGCTTGCTCTGCAAGTCTGCTTGGCTTTTCAGAGGGTTTTACGACAGCTCGTTGAGACTATCATTGCGTTACGTGTTTAGCTTGAAGAATCAAATTCCGACTGAACTGCCCGTGGTGGATCAGACAGCTTCCGCTACAGAGCTTAATCTTTGAGCGAGATTGTTAAAAATTGTGTTTCGATACACCTGAGGAACTAGAAAACTCTCTCCTTTTTACTTGTTTTGTTGAAATTTTACACTTTTTTTTACAACTTTCTTACCCCCAAGGGTATATTTTAGTAAACTGAACAGAAGCTGCATTAGAATACAGAAATTACAGAAACTACAAATTACTCGGTTTTGCCATCGGCTAAACTACACAAGGGAAGCTAGCGGCTTTCAAGGTTCAACGAGGCTGCTGGATGAAACGGGGGCTGCATTTCGGGCTCACATGCTTTGCTGGCTTCTCAGCATACCTCCTTGGCTCCACCGGGGACTTCGGACGTCTGTCCTCCAGTGACTTCAAATTCTTCAAGACCGCAGCGCCCTTCTCAAACCCTGCTGTTGTTCCAACACAAAATTTGAGTCCAACAATCGAACAGCATATCTGGAAACTGCATTAAAGTTGTTCATCCCAGTTTCCAACAATCTACAATCTTTCAGAGTATCTGTTCTTACCATCTTTACCTTCAGTCTGAGACATCTGAAGGAACTCTTCAAATTGAGCTTCTAGACCGGAGAATTCATCACCAACATCGAGATCAAAGGTCTCCGGAAGCAAATCAGCGACATTGTCAACTTCATTCTGGGTATCATCATAGAAGCCATCCTCACCCTGCTGACTGAGCCAGTAGTCGTGGTACCATGTGGAGGTTGTGACCAGTTGCCACCATTCAGGGGAGAAATCCTCCACCTGCCGGAGAGCCGCAGGGATAAAGAGAGGGGCGTTGGGATTCAATCTTGATCCTCCGGAAACCAGGGCCATCTTTGGCTAAGCGCAAGTCAACTACATCGGAAAAACAGTCAATCAGTTACGAAATCTTCTCGTTTTCAGGTTCCACACACGTACATCAGAAAACAACAAATGCAATAATCCATGGAAGACGTTTTATACGACGCAATTTCATCCAAATCTATGATTTTCAATTGATCAATGAACTCGCAAACTTTCACATTTCAAAGTTCACATGACCAGAATTTAGGATCAAACGAAAACAGTAAAACCTAGTCGATTTGAATGAAGACAATTTGGCGGATTTGAAAAAGATTGTGAATTGAAAAGGAAAATATATTCTTTAGAAATAAATACGAAGCTTTTCTTAAAAATAAAAACCAAAAACAAAATCAAAGCCATCAAAACAGCAGATTAAACACATAAATAAATAAATCAGATTTTCTAAATTTTCTCAACAACCAAACAGAACCAGATCTACCAATCAGAAATTAAAAACAAACCAAACCCTCACAGCCAAATCATTCGCTCAATTTTACCTAATCACCTGAACCTTCTAATCTTAAATTTTTTTCGGACACCAGAACCTGAATTCAAAGAATCAAGATTGCAATTTGGTTCTTTTTCCTCCATTTTCTCCAAGAAGATGTTTACAATATCTTTTTTCTTTACAAATAATCAGATCCATTAATGAACGAAAATAAATTCAATAAATAGAACAAAAATCGAAAGATTTTCAGTACCTTCGAGGCTTCGAGCGAACGAGAAAATATCTGGGTGCGAAATATCAGCTAACGTGATCGACCAGAGAGAGAGAAATACGTGTGAGTGCGAGAGGGAGGAGGGTGGGTTTATATAGTGAAGGAAATATGAGCCTAGCTGGTTTGGAGTTACGAAGCTGAGGTTCGACCTGATGTTTGCGCTGTACGGACTCCTGGATATTGCGCAGTTATCAGCCGTTGATTTTCCTTATCGGTGTCACGCGGTAATAAGCTGTAGTTCATTGACTTTGACTGGTTTGAGAAAACACCAATTAAAACCGTGCCACGTTTCCCACACGGGATCATGCAAATATCGCTTTTAAGAGCAACTTCAGCATTGTAAAGATAGAGCAACTCATTATTGAATAGCATTTAATAAACAGTAATTTCCTTTAATGAACTGCATTTTACATATCCACCACTAAACTGAATAATCATGATAATTGGTAATAAAATATTAGTATTTTTTATTTTATAAATAATACAAAATAATTTTATTTGTAATTTCGGATAAGATTTTATCGTTCTCGTTGCGCCATGTGTCATTATCCGAAAAGATAATTTTTGGTAATAGATTTCTATAAGATATTTATCAAATGCCGTCTTGCCACGTGTCATTACCTTCTCAGAATCGATGATGATAGATTTCCGATAAGATTTTTAACCAATCACGTCGCACCACGTGTCACAGTCTATTTACAATCTTTAAAGATAGATTTGGATCAGATTTTTAATGAATAACGGCATGTCACGTGGCATTATCTACAACCATTTTTCCTCCATATAACCCACCATTCATCATAAGAAATCACATACCAAAATCAAAATCTCTATCATTATTCATAGTTTATGCTTCATTTTTACAATGTCTTCTTCAAGGATATTGTGGGAAATCGATAAGCAAGAGAAAAAAAAATTAAGCAAGGGGAAGAAATGTTCAATCTCCAGGTGGGCGAAAATGAGATGGATGAGGATGAGGATGAGGAGCGTAGAAGAAGAGATGGTGAAACAAGAAGCCAAAGAGCCTCACATTCCCGTCAAGTCATCCAAGTTGTGGCTATTGGGCTGGAGGTTTGAGGTTGTTGCTGGGGCTATTGGGTTGCACAAGTCGTTTGTCCATCGGGCTCTAGTGAACGCTAGAGCTACTATAATGTGCCCTTTTACTTACTTTTATTGATGAATTTATTTTTATTTTTAACAAACAATAATATTTACATTAAAGAAAAATGGTGGGTTTAGTCTTATAATGAGCTAACAATAATGTGATTCAAATTCGTATTTGATCATAATCGAACATAAGACCTTTTACTTATAAGTGATGAGGAATACCACTAGACCATAGGAGGGGGAGTTTGACTAACTACAAATTTTTTTAATGTGGTTCAAAGTTTTTTTTACTTATTTTTTAAAGTACAACGATATATTTTATACTAATGGAAATGGAAGTTCAACTAAGTTATACAATAGGCAACCTAATTTGATATCAAATATGATATCCACGATATTCGAACCTAAAACTGAGTCCATTCTCCATATTCCCAAGAACTATAAAAAGGCTAAATGTACTTGAGAGCTTCTTATTAGCGCGTGTTGTCATGTGAGAAACTCGTTTGACTTGAACATTCAAGCTTAATGTTTATGATATATTGTTGTACTATAAAAAAATTTCACACCAATTTTTTTCTGTTACTCAATTTTTTCTCTTTGAATTGAATAAGTTATACTAGTTGCAGAGAAAAATATAATTTAGTGAATGGAATAAATCATACTAATATTAACAAACAACGAATGTAGTTCTAGATCATAATGGGCTAATAGTTTTATTATGGTGTCAGGGTAAATTATTCCTTAGAAATGTCACGAGTCTAATTTACTAGGTTCGAACTTGCTTTCTTAAGTTGGACTTTCAAAAAGTTGCAACTAGTTCGAACTTAAGGGTATTGAAGAATTTGGCCTTCAAAAAGTTGCGTTAGCTCTACTGAATGAATTATGACCGAGCTATTTAAATGTTTTGTTAGCTCCGACATGATGAATTGACCATTTTTTATGTGAGAATTGGTTTATCATGTGACTGTATGGGGCCATTCATGAATAGGCGTGATAGAGAATAAACTTCATATCCGAGAGATATAATATAAGATGCAACTTATTAATTGGAAGTTAACTTTTAATATTACCGAGATCATAAAACTCAATACATAATAATAAGTAATTAAGTTGAGACAGTATCAAATTTTCTTCTTAAGCAATTCAACTTGAACTATTCAACTTGAACTTTCAAATTAAGCACAACTGTTTTTATTTAATTTGAACAATAACTTATCCATCCAATTTAATGAAACCACAATGTTTACAATATAACATAATATATATATATATATATATATATATATATATATATATATATATATATATATATATATATATATATATATATATATAAAGCCAACAGCCCAGTGAAGAGTGTTTTTTGGTGTCACAAGCTTCACCAAAAATAATTGAACAGAAATGCCCCTCATACAAAAAACTTCAAAAGCAAACCAAAATAATGCACCAAATAATGCAGGAGGTATTTTCGTCATATAAATATATTTTTTTTAATAATTAATTATTTTTGTACAGTTTTTTGGTACATTTTTTTTAATTTTTTAATTTTTTTTATAATTAGTACCTTATAATAGGCTAACAATAATGTGATACAATCAGTTGTTTATTAAATATTATTTTCTCTATTTTTAAACACGTTCAAAACATCTTAAGAAACACGTAGTGCTAGTTATAAAAAGGATCTTTCGCACGTGCATAATAATGTGATTCAATTAGTTGTCAAATTATTGTTTTTCTTTTTTTGAACAAATGATATTATCTACACTAAGGGGAATGAGGTGGGCTTAGCCTCATAATGGATTAGCAATATTGTGATTCAATCAGTTGTTTATTAATTATTATTTTCTCTATTTTCAAACACGTTTAAAACATCTTAAGAGGCTCGTAGTGCAGGTTATAAAAAAAAGGTCTTTTACACATGCATAATAATGTGATTCAATTAGTTGTCAAATGATTTTTTTTTTTCGAACAAACAATATTATTTACATTAAGAGAAAGGAGATGAGTTTAGACTCACAATGAGCTAGCAATAATAAGATTCATATAGTTTTTTATTAAATATTATTTTTTCTATTTTTAAACATTTTCAAAACATCTTAAGATGCGCGTAGTGGTAATTATAAAAAAGATCTTTCGCACGCGCATAATAATATGATTCGATTAGTTGTCAAATGGTTGTTTTATTTTTCTTTTCGAACAAACGATATTATCTATACTAAGAAGAAGGGGTGGGCTTAACCTCACATTGGATTCGCAATAATGTGATTCAATCAGTTGTTTATTAAATATTATTTTCTCTATTTTTAGACATGTCTAAAACATCTTAAGAGTAGCGTACCGCCAGTGATAAAAAAAAGTCTTTCACACGCGCATAATAATGTGATTCAATCAGTTATATTATTTTCTCTATTTTTAAACACGTAAGAGGCACGTAGTGCTAATTATAAAAAAGACCTTTTGCACATGATCGTTTTTTGGTTTTTTTTTTTTAACAAATGATGTTTTCTACACTACCGGGGGGGGTAGGCTTAGCTGCGCGCACATAATAATGTGATTCAATTAGTTGTCACATAATCTTTTTTTTTTTTGAACAAACGATGTTCTAGCAATAATGTAATTCAATCAGTTATTTATTAAATATTATTTTCTCTATTCTTAATTTAAATTTAATATAATGTATATGGAAATTAAAAAACCGACTTTATTACGTGGATTTAGCTGCTTTGATTGGTTATGAGATATTTCTTCTAGCATGGTCGAATATTATTTATTTACTTCAAATATTTGACTTTTTTTTTTCATAAAAAATTTATTGAAACAATTCACACATATAAATACATTTAAAATATGTAAATTAAGTATAGTACACCTGATTCAAAAAATGTCTTTTACGTGTGCACGAAAGCTAGAACTGTATAAAATGAAAAGGTATACCTTCCACATGCTTTAGCATGTTCAAAAAATGGATCATTTGCACACTTGGTGCAAGGACAATTATTATTTGAAAGTAAAAGAATAATAAATCACATTTGAATAAAATATATGCCTTGGAATTATATTATTATTAGGGATGGATGTGATGTGATCCCTTTTTTTTATCTTCCTGGCCTGCCGAGGTGATAGTGCGTGCGTGGCAATGGCATAAGACCTTTATCGATAACGACAAAAGAGGTACTTTCTATTTCTCGAGGGTCCATCCTGATGGTTTGCACTATTCAATCACAGTCGTTCCTTCCAACTAAGGCCCACGTCTCATCAGGGCCCATGAGCCATCCGAGATGCATGTAGGATATTTGAACGGCCATGATTGTACACCCTCCAGTCATCACCAAAAGTTCTGGAAACTTGTATTTGTGTCGTAATACACATTAGGATTCGTTAATGACTTTAATTAATACTTCGGAAGGTCGGAAGGTCGGAAGGTCGGGGTGGGACCCCTCCATGTGAGCCTGGTTTAGACTTTCCAACCCAAACACTTACGGAACCATAACAAGTACCTTAGTGGTAAAGACGGAGATTACGATTTTTTAATAAAAAAAATAAGAGATTTTAAGTTTGGTGTTCGGAATTAGTAAGTCTGCTTAACTATTGTTATAGACAGGATAAAATTTTTCATAACTTATCCGGACCCATAAGGAATGAAAAGAAATGGATAACTGGTGGAAAGCATCCCTGAATAAAAAAAGAAAAAAAAAGATGTATGCTTATTTAATCAAACGGCTAATATTCAATTGTTTGGAAGAATTGGTGACGTATCTATTCGAGGTGGACCCCGCCGGGGGTTTTGATTTCTCCGCTCCGCATCATGCGCGTATTGGCACATGGGCGGTTGGCCGGCGGTCGGTTGGGTAAAATACTGGATATGATCGGATGAGAGGGATGTGACACATATCCTGCCAAGTGTGGTTCCTGCCAGGCAAAAGGGCATACGTCACAATCATACCCTCCCAATTACGAGAAAATGACTACTAGTTTATACTTGGCAAATTTGAAAAAATAATTAAAATTTATCTTTTATATAAAAT